CAGCTTAGTTCCAGCCACTCTCATCAGAGATTTATGCTCTCAACACCAAGCTGAGTTGGCCCTGAAATGCTATTTTTGTAGGAGCACTCTGCATTTCCCTCTTCTGGCAGAGGTGAGCAGTGCAGTAATCCCACAGCCAAAGGTCTGAGCACAAAGCTATTGCAGACCCCAAAGGGCACGAGTTTGTCTCTGTGGCTGCTCACACACCAGCTGAATGCCTTTTCACTTGCCCTTAAAGAACAGAAAGGAAAGAGGTCAGATGTCAGAGTATGCGGGACCAGTTCCCTTACACAGGACAGGCAGCAATGCCTGTAACTCAAGCTACAACAGTTGTACCCACACTGCATACCATCACACGTACAGTGAGATGAGAAAGAGCACGTGCATTCCAAACCCTCCTAAAAAGATCAATTTCTTTCACACATTTCAGCTCTCTGAACAAGAATTGACAAAAATACCATTTCATTTTAAAGGAGAAAAATCACATATACAGGTTTGATTGCTTTTTATTAATTTAACCTTACTTGCTGAGCCTGGTCTCCATGGAAATGCAAGCAGAAGAAAAACCTGCAACCAGAAGTGAGTCAGTTTTGTCTGTTTATGTCTCCTCAGTTCCCATAGAAACAGACATTAAAAAAAAAAAAAAGGATAAGGGTCCTGAAATACCTTCAGAAAACCTCTTCTCAGAGCTTTACGTCTTCAGCTGACTTTCCAGAATTAGAGTTGGAAACAACACTGAGCAACAGATGACAGAGAAGCGACTTGGTTTTGTTATATAGACACTGACAGAAAATACCTGGGGATGTTTCAAAAGCCACATCCAAACTGAAAGCTCCCAATCTACAGTTACAAACTGTACCAACTTCAGTTTCGACTGCAGTGCCTAAAGTAGGGTGTGTACTCTTCAATTAATTCAAAGCTGATGTAGATACAAATACAACAGAGAGGAGAAAATCTGCATCATGCTCCCTGCCCCAAGCATATTTCAGTATTTCGAGAGGCCAATAAATAAATAAAAATGCTGCCTTGGGGGAATGAGTCCAAGATTTCCATAGGCAGGATATTTTTTTAAAGGAATCACTCCTTCCTTTGAACATTTTCATTTTTTAAGTTGCAAAATCAGCTTTACATATAGTGGGTTAAGTAACAAATACCAGTATTAAACATTGATGCAAGTCTACTCTGTCCTTCACAGTTATGGGTACAAATGCACTCCTCCAAGCAGATAAAGCAAATCCCAAGGCATTGACAGCAAGAATCCATCTCCCATCCTACTATCCAGGGGTGCTGGGGCACTTCCCATGCACAGCATTCTTCTCCATCGCACTGCTATCACCCTCCTTCCTCTCGGAGCCAAACACCCCTGGGTAGTAAGAAGGACAGGAGAGAGGAAGGGAAGCGGCTGTGGTGCATGTCTCACACCTCCCAGTCCTGCTCCTATCTCTCCTGTTATTGGGTAGGATTCCCCTGGCATCACACACAACCAACAGAGCTGCTGAAAGGTCCTTCAAAAAATGCACAGGACAACCAACCCCAGTACCAATCTTCTTTCCCTGTGTCCACAACACATCATCAATCCCACGTGTTAGCACACTGCCATGTGACTCAACACCTTTAATCAGAGGGCAGTGGCTTTTGTCATTATTGCCTGCCTGGGAAGAACAAGCAAGGTAAGTGTTTCTCTTTCATCACTGCCACCAGAGCAAAGCAGCAGAAGTGAAAAGAAAAAGTAACAAACACAACAAAAGAAAAGCTTGGGGAAGAACAGCCCAGCGTGACCCTTCCTGCAAGGAGAAAGAGCAGCAGCAGTCACAGGAAGTTCATCTTCAATGGCAGATGCAGCTGAACTTAATTCAACCTTAATTAGCTCACATTAGCTGAATTCAATCTATTCCTGTTACAGGAAAGATAAGCCTTAGGGAATTAATTATTTTCTACTCCCCTTTGTACTTCAGCACAGCGTAATGTCACACCACAAGGAGAGCAATCTCTCAAAACCCAGCGAGGCAGCACTCAAAGAAGACAGATCTGAAGTTCAGTGGAGAAGGTACAAGAAACACCCACGGCCATCCTTCCATCCTTTCAGATGCAAAGCCTCCCTTCACGGAGGTGTCAGGCAGCAGCAACCACCACACTTTAACTATTCCTTTACTCCAGCGGCTAAATATACAAACAAAGCCTTAGCGTGACTACTTCTCTTATAGTTACCATTCAAACCCATGCATTACAGCTCCATACAAGCGTTTTCTAAAGCATTACAGGGACAAACCAGACAAGCAGCAAAGCAGCAGATGGATTGCTTTTCCCTGTACTCTACGACAAATGCAATTCTCATTTGATAGTAGTTCATTAAAACCAGGCTCTGAAGAGATTCTGAGGCATCAGCCGTCAGGATCAGCTTAGTTTTGTACTTCCACCAGCACAAAGAACGGGGCAGAGAGAAGGTGAATGTGATTGCTGCAGATAGGGAGTCACTGTTACACCCAATAAGGACACTGGTCATGAGAAAAAAAAAAGAATTTAATGACATAAAACCAATACTCTGAGATTATTCAACACCTGAAAATTAAAACCACTAACTTAGTTTTACTCGTTAGGGCATCACTGTTGTATCAGTCATGAAGAAATGCACAAGGTCACAGCTTGAATTACTGGGAAATCAAAGCACAGCAGCTATCAAGCAGCACCTGTCCTGTGTGCTGATTAGGCAAGGTCCCCTTAGAAAAAAGGAAACACAACTGCAACTTTATACATCGTATCACATCCCATCAGCTCAAGGAGGCCTCATCATGGCTAAAAGAGCAACCTCAATTCCGTCATTTGTTAACTCCCAAACGCTTATTTACAGCAGCTTAGTATTAACCCTTCACATCAAGGTTCCCAACACAGGATTTTAAGTCTGCTTGTGTTCCTCACGTGCATAATTACAGGATAAATAAAATGTTTTTGATACATACAAAACTCCACAGACCAAGGGAAGGCTGCTTTGAAAAGCAATCATACAGAAACATTCCCTTCTTACATTTGGCTGCTGCTAATGCAAAAATTTCAAGGAGCTTCAGCAAATGTCTAAGATGCAATCCACAAAAGTTTCTTGAAGAAAAGGAACTGTGATGCAGAACATATTAATTGTGACAACTACGAAGATCAGGTAAGCAAACTTCTCAGACCAACATCACTGCTTTGCGCCTGTTGAAGATGCTTAATGCAAGTACTGCAACTTCCAGGATCAACTGAAGAACACATTTCAAAGAGAAAAGTGGAGAAAAGCAGATGGACCCCTAACAGATCACCTGCAAACTGCCAGAGCACTCAGCACATGCTGCTCTAAGGAGGTACAACCCCTCCTCACCTCTGGTAGAAGCGTTCTGTTTCTAGCGATCCACCTTTGCCTACAGATTTGCAACACTGTATGACAAGGCAAAATTACCACCAAAGCCCCAGGAAAGTGACTTGGCTTATAACAACAAGTCACACATACAGCTGCAGTCACACATCCAAACAGGCGGAACCTGAAGGAATTCAGACCCTACCACGGCAGCCTGGCACACAGCATGTAAGCACACAGCTCCTCCTCCACGTTTAACAAAGTTCATTCTGAGGCTGTGGCCTGAAGGGCTTTTCGGTGCATGTTTCTGTTGTTTCTTTGCCTTGGGTTCTGTTTGGTTTTCATCTTTGACTGTTTGTTTTTGGGAAGTCTCAACACGATTTCTGACGCTATGAGAGAAGCAAAGGACAGAAGGCACTGTAAGTCAGCAGAACTGTTCTTTTAACTATTTTCTGTTCTTATTTCCATTCGGGAAGGATTTTCTACGCATCACTGACAAAGTGCTGGTTTATAGAATAGCAGTGAAGCAATGAACCTCACTCTGCAGCACACACCTGAAAAAAAAAAAAAACAAAACAACTTTCATCCAGAAAGACTTCTGTCTCCTCCTATAAATTGTCTTTTTATACCCATTCCAGCACAAGTCACTGCAGCAGTTCTCACATTAAAGTCACCGCATCAGTGCAGACAGAATCTCTGAGCCATCACCTGTCACCATACTAAACTTCCTGGAGCACACAATAAAACATAAGGGGTGTGCAGAGAAAACAGGATCAAGTTTAACAGGCACTGCAGCAGGAACCTCCGGCAGCACACACACCAACACATCACATCAAAGATGGAATTTGACCGATGCTTTGTCAGATACTCAAACAACACTTCTATGTGTTTCTCAGCCCTCATCCGGGAAGGAATGGTGGGCAGGGAGGGGTATGAAACATCCTGAAAGAAGGCCAGCCTGGCTGTGTGCAGGGCAGGAGAAGAGCTGTCCCTGCTTTTGCCATTCTCAGTCAATGGTCTCATGTGCAAACAAGAAAGCAACACAAGCAATAATAAAAGCAGTAACTGAGCAATCAAAGCTAATCCCAATGTATATCACATTGCAACCAAAGCCTCCCATGGCACTGCTGCACAGTACAATCCTCACACTGTACTCAGTGAGGTCAAGTGTTTCTTTGGACTTCAAAAGGATGAGAGACATCGTTTTAGATGACAGATAGCTGGCAGAGAATAGCACGGCAGATAAATGGAAGATAAGGATTTCTGAAGAACAAAGCGAGATGGCGAGATAGCCAGCGTGTCAGGTCAGAGAAGGGAATCAAAATCCACCAGAGGGAAAAACCTTGGCTTTGACATTGGCTATGCAGAGCGGGTGGCAAAACTCACAGAGTGGGGAACAAAAGCCTCAGCACTTAACTCTTTATTTTGGGAGTTATGAATCAGAAAGCAAAACGGGCTGTCCCAAGAACTGACAGCTGTAATACCAGACACACAGAGCACGAATCTGCTCTTGTACCTGCTACTAAAAGCAAAGCCGTAAGGAACATCAGGCGACGACAAACTCAATCCTTCAAGCACACCGCGCTGCTCGGGCTTCGGCGCGTCCCTCCGACACCGGGACAGCGGCACCGGCTGGGCGGGGGGCAGCGCGGCGGCACGGCGCCTTACTTACTGGAGTCCTCCCAGCGGAGGAGGTGCAGCTTCCAGGCGGAGTAGTACAGAAAGCCCAGCACCAGGAAGAGGCAGAGGGCGAGCAGCAGGTTGCGCATGAACACCAGCAGTCCCATCTTCGCATCGGAGCCGCTCTGCTACGCGACCTGCGGAGGGAGGACAGGGTGAGGGAGGGGCACGCTCGCAGACACGCTCTGCCGGTCCACCGCGCCCTGCGTCGAGTCTCCGAATCGGGCTCGCGCGAGGCCTCCTCCTCACCCCCCCGCCCACGCCGGACTCCCGCCGCCCCTCCTCACCCGGCCGCCGCCGCCGGCCCTGGGCGTTCGGCCGCCGGCCGCGACCCCCGGGCTCGGGGCTGCGAGAGCCGCCATGCCGGGCGCGGCGCAGCGGGACCGGCCGCCGCCACAGCGGAGCTGAGGGGCACCGCGGCCGCCAATGGAGCGCAGGGGCGGGCCCCCGCGCCGCCAACCCGTCCGCATAGCGGCCGCCGCCAGCCAATGGGGAGGCGCGGGGGGCCGCGCCCACAGCCAATCGCGGGAGGCGCCAGCGAGCCGACGGTGGGCGGGCGGCGGGGGGTCGCCGCTGGAGGGGCGCTGCGGCAGGGCGGTGGCGCGCGTGCGCGGACCCCGCTCTCTCCCCCGCGCGAAGCCAATCTCCGCACGGCGCTCCGCCAATCGGCGCTCCGGGCGCCGCGCCGCATCTTCCTTCTCGGCCCGACCCGCCGCGTTAAAACGGTGCCGCGCTGCACCCCGTCCTGCTCCGCGGTCCCGTTTAGCAGCCGCGCACCGCGCTGCGGTTCTCCGATTCCAGAATATCCTCAGACCCCCGCGCGCCTGATCGCATCGCGCAGCCTCGCCGTGCCGGACGTGCAGCAAAGCGTGACTCGCGCTGCGCGGTCAGCGTCGCTTCCACACCATTGCAGCCTCCGCCTGCCCCGTGAGCACGGCGCTGCGCTGCCCGGCTCGCTGCCGCCCTCGGCCTTGCCGGAGGCCCCAGTAAGATATCACGATGACAAATGTGTTTTCAAGGCGGCAAATAAACCCAATGATTTCCCGTTTCCATCCTGCGTGATTCACTGCTAACATGGGAAACGTCAAGAGCCGCGTGAATTTAAGGTGTTGTGGATAGGACTGCTGGCAGGGTGGTGGCGTTGCAAGCCCAAGTGCCAGGCACACATCGTGGCAGTGCAGGCTGAACCCTGCCTGAGCCCCTTCTCACGGGGTGAGGAGCGGAGCACATACACAGCCCACGGGGAGCCGGGTTGCTCACACAGCCTCTGAGGCACAGCTGAAACCTCACCTTTGTGTTCAGCACAAATGAAGCCGTGCCAGGTTATTGCAGGTGCTGCATCATTGTAGCTGGGCTCACTGATCCACCTACGTCCTCCGCTAGGAATCCTGCTGGGATCTTCAGATGCTCACTGCACGATGCAGAAGCTGAACACATCCATGCTAACGCACAGGTATCGTTGGTACCAATGGGGATGGAGAGGGGCCAGATCTGCATCCGAGCACCCTTTGCTGCATCTCAGCCCCTTGCCTCACACACCAGCCCCTGGCTCCTTAGGATGCTCAGACCCCAGTTGTGCTCACCCAGCCGAGGCAGCTGCCTCCACCCCAGCAGGCTCAGGCAGCACGAGCACTTGCATCTTGCTTGCCCCTTTCCTCACCTCGACAGCCTTCCAGCTGGGTAGAGCAAGTTCTCCACTCTGTATCTACTCTGGACGTGTTCAGATCTTGCCTAAGCACTGTCAGTTGACTGCTTGCATGCTCAGCGAGCACAGCAGCTGACCCGGTGTCGGTAAGGAGCCAGATAAGCAGAGACCTGTTGTACGGAGGCAGATAGTGACAAGGCTGGGGCTTGCCACGGTGCCCAGGTTTGTCACTTGGAAACCCTACACCATACTATCAGGTATCAGCATGTTGGAAGGAGCCCAGCACGACATCAGGCAGTTTCCCTGCCAGGAAAAAGCCAAGGAGGAGAGTGCTGTGTGTTTATGGAAATCGGGTATCCGGCTGCTGCCTAAGACCTGCGAGATGAATTACAGCAATGATCAGTGGAGTGATCTGGTTGGAGTAGTAGGGCTTTAGTCTGAGCTTGTTCCCACTTAGCTTACACATTTCATTGCAGGCAGATGTCAAGCTGGACGTTGCTAGGCGATGGACAGCAGGGGAATAATTAAGCCCAATTCAATTCAATAATATTCCACACTGCTTTCTGGAATGCTCTGGAGCTTTTCCAACAAAACTGACCAAAGGAAAGGGCAAAAACTATGGCTCATCTTGATCCACAAAAACCCACTTTGATTGAGTCACCAAGCCCTGGCATGGAGCCTGTGTCCACCCACATGCCCCACAGCACCACCCCCACGAGTGAGGAGAGAAGACACAGACGTGGCCACTGCAGCAGGAAGATGACCTGTGGATGCCCTACACCCACCTTGCATCAACCCCACCAGCTCCTCTGAGGCACTGCCATTGGGCAGGATGTCACCCAGTGTCCACACAATCCTTCCCCCCAAATTTCATGTCATCACATCAGACTAGATACCACTTAATACAATATATTGTTATTCATTAAATACCACAGCAAAAATCTATTTCCACTAATAGCCAGAGGGAGATTACCTCTGCTGATGCACAGACTGGGGGAACAAATTGTGGGCTGTAACTTACTCATATTTTGTCTTTGGCACTCTGGCCAAACTTGTTTCACCTCACACAGTTTTTGTGCATTATTCTTCAGTGTGGTCTCTGCCCTTCGGTGAGCAGCACGCTCAGTCTGGGAACAGGACTTTGCATTTCTGCCCTTCTAGCATTCTAAGAATAGCAGCGTTGAGGCTCTCATTGAAAGACATGTTAATTTTTGAACAAATACTCAGCAACGGGGAGGCCAGGGTATTCTGAAGAGCTGAAGCAATGTGCAGAGACACAATGTATTGTACCCTGGGAGGGAAGAAACACAGATGATAGAACACAGGCTCCACGAGCAAAACTTCTCCTTGGGCAGAAGGAAAGGTCTGGCCCATAGGAACTGGAGCATCCATGCAGCACACTTGGGCTTTTCTACAGCAGTCAACAATGATGTAGGATTTTAATTAAAAATACGTATTATAAAGAATTAATAAGGCTCAGTTTAGATTAACTACGTGCATTAACTATGCTTAGAGGTCTGTCTGCATGCCAAGATTTAATGGGGAGACATCAACAGCTGGGAACAGATGTAGACCCCCAGCGACTGTTGCTTGGTCGAGTGCCATTTAATAGTTTTTAAAATCAATTATAGAGATGACAAGGTGAAGGTTTGCATTTGTGGCTGACCCAAATGCTGATGGAATGCTAACAGCCACGGCACGCTCACTGCCCTGGCTGCAAAGGAAGGTGCTGGGGAATGGCAAGGATGGTCTGTGCTACAGGATGGAGGATCTGCTGGAAAGCAGAGGAGGGAGGGAGAGAAAAATAGAAGGAAGAAAGCCAGAAAGAAAGTGAGCTCTCCCACACGTGGCTACAGCTTAGGTTTGCATTGCAGCACAGTGGTTAGGTGAGAGATGAGCCAAGGATTTATGGATTCAGGTTTCCTTACCTCCAGAACAGGCACAAAAAGCTTAAAGAGCACCACCACCTTGAAACAGGTACTTAAGGTCTGGAAATAAGGCAACTAAGCAGCATCTTCTACCCCTCCCCATGCCACTGCCTGTTCCCACCACCCCTTATCTTCCCGACCCGGTACCACTGCTGTCCTCACCTCCCCTTGGCTTGCAGGGAGAACAGGTTTTATGCATGGTTACGCAGGTTTTAGCACGGTGGGCAGAGACTGTGGGGGTCCCTGCAGCTGCAAGGAGCAGCTCAGCCAAGGACAGCCTGCCCAGCCTCCTTGCACACGTGTTGCCAGAACCTGGCATGACACAGCTTGATCTGCCTGCTGCTGTTACATTGGACATCAGCTCCTTGGTTCAAGGATGCTGCGTTTCTCATCCTGCAAACTGTTCTTCTGAAATTGACTGCACTGTTGTAAGGAAGTTCTACAGAAGGCTCAAGGTGATGATGGAGCCATGCAGTGATCTCTTCCCTTTACTCTGCTACCTGAAGGCCATCTTATCTCCAGTCACTCCCCTGATACCTGACAAACTGAATCATAAAATTAATCATAGAGTGGCTTCTGTTGGAAGGGATCTCAAAGACCATCTAGATCCAATCCATCCATCACGTGCAGGGTTGCCAGCCACTAAAACAGGTGCTAGATAAGGCTGTCCATGGCCCCATTGAACCACCTCAAATACCTCCAGGGGTGGGGTGTCCAAAGATTGTCTCAGCAATCTGTGCCAGAGCCTCACCAACTGAAAAGCTTTTCACCCACTGGGACACCCCAGTCCTTCTTTTCAGGGCTGCTCTGAATAAGTTCTTCTCCCAGTCTGTACATGTAACTGGGATTGCCTATCTTATTCCTGCTCTGCTATCTCCATCCTCTACAAGCTGGGAAACCTCCTCAAGTTCAAGAGCTGGTGCAGTCTGGAGGGAGTTCATAAATATGGTGTCTTAAAAGCAGTAAAATTGTCAGAGTCCAGAGGGAGAAACGAGACCTCAGCACACATTCAGTACTGCGTTCGCAGCCCACTTAGTTACGTATTGCTTACTTATTGCTTCACTAAGGGCAGCTCTCCCTTAGAAACTGCATTCAAACCACTTGTCTTTCACATACGTATATATACGATATATACAGTACACATGCAAAATATAAATAAATGAATAATTATGTGCCTGCTAGGTTTCCCTCCTGTCTCCCAGCTACGTGTGCTCCCCATGGGCTCCAGCCAGCTCCTGCACAGTGGCTGTTGCCAGCAGGCTCAGGGCCAAGCTGGCTATGCTTTGGCAGGGAGCACATCCACGGCCCCCAAACATCCTCGCCCAACACCCACACTGCTCCCCACAAAGCTGCACCCTGTGGAGGGCTGAGAAAGGCACCCCACGGTCCGGTTGCAGAGCTCATCAGCACAGGCAGCCCCAAAAATATCCCGGGAGCAAGTGGGCTGGTGGCAGCTGTACAGCAGCCTCTGCTATGTTGATGGGAAGGGCTGTTCCGTGCCTGGGGCAGTGCCAGCATTGCACCACATGCCTGGGCACAGGGCATGGGCACTCTGTGCTGCCAT